GCGTTGTCCTCGCTGTGTTCCTCTGTTTCCCTCTGTGTTGCCGCTGTGTCCCGCTGTGTCCCCTGCTGGGTCCAGCTGTGTACCCCGCTGTGTCCCACTGTGTCCCCTTCTGTGTTCCCCGCTGTGTCCCGCTCTGTCCTCCGCTGTGTCCCGCTGCAACCAATGCTGTGTCCCGCTCTGTCCCCCCGCTGTGTCCCGCTGCAACCAATGCTGTGTCCCGCTGTGTCCCGCTGGGTCCCCGCTGGGTCCCCGCTGGGTCCCGCTGGGTCCCGCTGTGTCCAGCTGTGTCCTCGCTGTGTCCCACGCTGTGTTCCGCTGTGTCCTCACTGTGTCCCCAGATGTGTCCTTTTGTGTCTCCCACCTCCTGCAGAGGAGCGCTGGTCTCCAGAGCCAGAGTATAGGTTGCCTGCATGGTAGGGGAGCCAGGAGCACGGGAAGGGGGCCACAAACCACCAGAGGATGCAGCTCCTTAGAGGAGCAGGGCAACAGTGTGGGCCGGGCACAAGGGGCCACTGCTGAGAAGGGAGTCCCCAATAGGTAAGGGTTTCTTTTAACTGGTACTATGCTTGTAAATAGGAGGCCCGGAGTTCAAGCTCTAGTATAACACAAAAAACAAAAAGCACCCCCCAAGAAGCTTAGCCATGTGTAGCTAGCTCAGTGGTCAAGAATGTGCTGAGCATATGAGAGGGTTTGGGTTCCATCCCAGCACCAAAAGGAAAAATCATGTATGATACCTTCTAATCCATTATTCGTGCGGTGAGTTCTGATGGTGTTTCTGGAGGCCCTCAGCTGGGCTGACAGCCCCATGGAGATGGCGGAAAGCACTGCTTTGTGGAAGGGTCTCTGCTATCTCTGCTATGGAGGTGGCCACCTGCTCTCTGCAGCCTGTCCTGTTGTGTGATGGCCAGCCATTGCTCCTCCAGTGACAACTAAGATACCCTCTATGCCCTTCCCACTGCAGAGAGGAGATTCAAACGCTGACCAGGAAGTGTCAAGAGCTAGAAGAAACTAAGAGAGAAGAGACACATGTTCCACTGGACGTGGCTCCCATGGACGTGGCTTCCATGGGTGAGGTTCCTATTGACCTGTCTCCCGTGGACCTGTCTCCCGTGGACCTGTCTCCCGTGGACCTGTCTCCTGTGGACCTGTCTCCCATGGATGAAGCTTCCATAGTCCTGACTCCTGAGGATGTCACTTCAGTGGATGCAGCTCCTGTGGACTTGGCTCCCGTGGACCTGGTCACTGAGGTAGTGTCTGTTGTTTTGTCTCTGCTCAGCTGGGGTTGCTCCTAGCCAGTGTCCCATGCTCCCTGTTCTCCTGACCATCATGTGACCTTCATGATGGATTTCTGAAACTGAGCAGTACATGTAGAGGCCAAGGTTATAGTCTTGGGTCAGCTGATGGCCAGAGAATTGCCCTCTCAGGCTGCCCGGCTCTGTAACAGGCACAGGAAGGGAGGCCCTTGTACCCAACCTGGAGGAGTGGGTCTCACACCTGCCTGCTGGTCCTGGAGCTGGATGGAGTGTGGGAGTTGTACATGACAACCATCTAGGTAGCAAGTATCAGCTGACATCTGCATATGCAAAAATCAAGACCAGATGTTAAGCTCATCACATGGTTCATATGGTATGTGATAAGTCCTGTAGGCTAGGTGTGGATGTCCCTACCTGTAATCCTGGCCTCTGGAGGCTGAGGCAGGAGGAGCTCAAATTCAAGGTCAGCCTGGACTACAACAGTGAGACCTTGTCTCATAAAAACAAAAGCCGGATATGTGGAGCTATATGTTAGAGTACTTGCCTAGCATGCATGAGTCCCTGGTTTCAACCCCCAGCACCACCCAAAACCAAAGAAAGAAAAGCACAGCGTGGTCTAGGAGGAACCGCCCCCTCCCCTTGTACTGTCATCCAGAAGCTTCAGGTCTTTGCAGCAGGTGGTCTGATGGTTAGGAAATAATCCTTGGGCTCCAGGTGGATGGCTGAGGTCCAGGGACCTGCTCCTTATTGAACAAGGTAGATAGGGTTTGGCTTGGTTTCGTTTGGTGTGGTTTGGTTTGGTTTCCATCTGGACTGATTTCTTCCAGTGCTGGTTCCTAGTTTGCCTGGGGCCTTAAAAGCAGGTTGACATTCTCAGTTACAAGCCAGACAAATCACAGTGCTGCAGGTGACAGGGAGGCACAGGGAGAGGTTTCAAGAGCCCCACCTGTGCCCTTTCTCCCATGTTGCAGTGTCTGGTCTTGGCACCCCCTGCTGGCAGGGCAAGGCTGCCGATGGGGGTCTCCTGCCTGTCTTTTCTGAAAAGCATTCTCAGATGTTGCTGCTGGTTTTTCCAGTGCTTTGGGGAATGACCTAAAGGACCTTGAATCACATTCCCAGCCCCGCTTCCACCTTCGATGTTCCCTGCACATGTGTTTGCCCCCAGGGTCACAGCCCCAGGACAGGCAAGTGTGGGGGAGATCCCTACTTCCCTCTGCCGTTCATTCTGTGTGGCAGGTGGGGTGGAATGTCCCCTCTGGGGTCTGATCACTTTGGGCACTGGGGAAAGCCACAGCTAGGTGCTCGAAGGATCTGGGTGGTGACAGGGCTTAGTGACCTGTCACTGTTGTACATTTGGAAACTGGCCACCCAAGGTCCTGTCCCTCATCCTCCACCTGCAGCTGGTGGGAAGCGTGGCCTGGAAGGGGACTGTTCGCATACCACTCCCACCATGACTGTTCACAAGGAGACAGCCGCAGGTTTTCCTGCCTGCTTTTATGACTGACAAAAAAAAAAAAATGAAGACACAAGGGATGGTTCCTTTCCTGTCTGCTAACTGGACAAGGAACCCACCAAGGGAGGTGTCCTTCCACATAGACTGTGTGACCCTGTCCTGTGTGCTGACCTCCTTAGCCCATTACATGCACTCGAGTGTGTGTACACGTGTACATACAAAATAAAAACTCAATATGGGATCCTCCTGCCTCAGCCTCTCAAGGGTTAGGATTACAGACATGTACCACCACACCCAACCCCTTTATATTTTTTAAATTTATACTTAGAAATATGTCTAGAAGGGCTAGGAAAATGGCTTAGTGATAGGTTTGATTTCTCAGTACCACATAAACAGAAAAAGCCAGAAGTGGCGCTGTGGCTTAAGTGGTAGAACGCTAGTCTTGAGCAGAAGAAGCTCAGGGACAGCATCCAGGCCCTGAATTCAAGCCCCAGGACTGGCAAAACAAAACAACCTATTTCCAAGCTGGGCACCAGGACTCAACACCTATAATCCTAGCTACTCAAGAGGCTGAGTTCTGAGGATTGCAGTTCAAAGCCAGCCATGTAGTGAAGTCCATGAGATTCTTGTCTATAATACTACTCAGAAAAAGCTGGAAGTGACACTGTGGCTCAAGTGGTAAAATGCCAGCCTTGAGCAAAGAAGGTCAGGGACAGCACCCAGGCCCTGAGTTCAAGCATCAGGACTGGCGTGCGCATGCACACGCGTGTGCACACACAGACACACACACACACAATTCCATCTTCAAAAGGGGGAGTGGGCTTAGCTGGGAGTATTGGAGGTGGTTAGCGCTCCGTATCACGTGTGAATGATGAGTTGTGGGTTGAGACATTTCTTAACAGTTGCCTCATGGGATTCATATGCATACCAACACAATTTTTTTTCAATAGTGGGGATTGAACCAAGAACCTCACACTTGCTAGGCAGGCACTCTAGCACTGGAGTCATGCCCCCAGCCCCTCTTGCTTATTTTTCAGATAGGGTCTCACATTTTTGTCCTGCCCAGCTTGGGATGAGATCCCCCTGCCTATGGCTTCAAGCAGCTGAGATTATAGTTATGCTCCACCATGCCTAGCCTGTTGGTCGTGGTGGAGTATCGCTAAGTATTGCCCAAATGGCCTCAAACCATGATCCTCCCAGCCCCTGCCTTCTTAGTACCTGGCATTGCAGGTATAATCCATCATACCCAGCTCATTTATTGAGATGGGATCTTGCAGACTTTTTGTCCCAGCTGTCCTCAAATAGCCATCTTCTCAGTTTGTCCCCCTCCCCCCAGTAGCTGGGACTATAGCTATGCTGTTGCAAGATGGTTTGTGGCTGTTCTGTGGACAGACTTCCTACTGGGACCACATCCTCCTCAGTGCCTCCTCCTGGAGTTGTGTGTTTAGATCTAGAGGTGTAATAAAGATGCAGCACATGTATTCCTAGTCTCATCTGATGAGTGGAGCAAGGTGGCCTGCCAGGCAATATCCTGCCTGAAGGCTGATAGGCATCTGTGTGCAGCAGCCCATACCCCCTCCATTTCCTGCAGGACCCCGAGTTGCTCCTCTCGCCCTCACCTTGCAGCGAGCACTCGCACCCTGACTTAGAGCTGGATTCTTGCAGCGAGGAGGGGCAGGAGGGCTGCCCTGAGTCCCTGGGCCCTGACCCCATTCCCAGCCCCTGCTCTGACAGGAGAGAGGTCGCTGCCAGGACCCTGCAGGCCTGGTGGAAGGCCCACCAGCAGCAGGTGAGTGCCCCTGGCTCCAGCAGTTCCCCCACAGCAGCCTGGCCCACAGCTCAGGTAGCCCTAACCAGACGCCATCTTTGCCTTCCATACTGGAAACAAGGCCTGCAGGGGAAGGAGTTGTGGTGATGTTGCCTCCAGCGGGCCCCAGTGGTTCAGTAATTATTCATTCTTCTAAAATGCATTGTAGTCACGGTTCCTTGTCACATCTGCATGGCCACATGCCCTTCTGCAGCCCTGGTGGCTTGCACGGCCTTGTTTTACAGCTCCTCCCTCCTGCTTCCCACCACTGCCCCCCTCTCACCCCTGGGCAACTTGGTTTTGGGTGAACTGGGTGAAGGAACTCATCTTACCCTTGCTAACTTTTTTTTTTAATCTGTTTCAGAGAAGAAAAGTTATTCTGGATGAGGTAAGCAGAATTATTTTTACCAATTTCAGATGATGTGTTTTTTCTTTGAAGAGAAATCACTGAGAGATACTGACAGACCTAGTCCTGATATTTGTGAAATCAAACCCTGACATTATGTTTAAAATATATAAGTAGTAGAAACATCAAATAGCCAAAGTGCCAAACAAACAGAAGCAGAAGTAGGACAAGCAGGGCCCAAAGCCACCCCAGGCAAAAGCACAAGAATCTTTTCTCTAAAACAAGCTAAAAAGCAAAGAGGACTGAGGGCATGGTTCCACAATAGAGTGCCTGCCTGTCGAGCCGAGGCTCTGAGTTCAAACCCCAGTTCTGCCAAAAAAAAAAGAAAAAAAAATCAGTTATTTATTCTCTCAGCACACCTCACCCCTCATCAGCCCAGCCAAGGGCCACAGGGTCCCCAACGCCTGTCAAAGCCCGGAGAACTCAGGTGGCCTGGAGAGGGAATCGGCCTCGTGGGCAGCAAGTCCACGTTGACTGGGTCTGAGGGGACCATTGCAGCAGACTGGGACATGAAAGGAGGGGACAGGAGCCAGTGTGGTTCTGAGCTGCCCCTAGACTGGAAGCTTTATCTCCTTCACATGGACAAGGCCTCTCTCGACACCATGTGTCAGCATCTGGCCACAGCCAAGACTACCATCTCCATCCCTGAGAGGAAGGCCAGCCTCGGGGCTCCACACTGCTGCTCCACCCACTACCCCTTCAGGTTCTGGGCTCTAAAGAACAGCCAGGGCCTGAAGCTGTTGACTAGGGCGCAACATCTCCTGCTCCAGACTCGGTGCCCATCCAGCTAGTGGCTCATTCCCTCAGTGCTGGGGGCTTGTGAGGAGGAGCAGCAGGGGCCCTTCCAGATGGGTGGGTGCGGCGGCTGCACCTCAGGCTGCAGGAAGAACAGCCAGAGTTGAGGCCAAGAGGCAACCATCAGCGCCCATACTCAGCCTCAGCCCCTCAGGGTCAACCCGGCCCCCTGCAGAAGTGTGTCACCCTCGGCCCCTCTCCAGCACCCTGGGGTCCCCTCCTTGTACTTGCAGGCTGGTGGCCATGTCAGATACCAGCACACATAGCCCCACCACACCTGCTGCATCCCCTTCCTTGTCCTTCTCAGGCACTCCTGCCCGGCACCTTCCTTGGTGAGTCCCATGCTGCCCTCTCTGTTTCCACCCCCAACAAACATGGCTGAAGAAAAGTACACGCCACATGATACAGAGTAGCTTCTTCCACTTCCATGGCCTCCAGCTCCATGCCGTTGCCATGATCTCTCCAGTCTGAGCCGCACACATACTGCTCATCACTGACTTCAGTGAGGCAGGCGCCGCTGGGAGACCAGCTACAGCCAGCTGTCACTTCTCTCAGGATGCCCACAATTAAAAATAACAATACCCAGCCAGGTGCGGTGGGGCAGGCCTGTAGTCCCAGCACTTGGGAGGCCTAGGAAGGAGGATCGGGAGTGGCAGGCCAGTGAGATGTGTCTCCAAACAAAAGAACACACAGCCTGGTCAGTAGTAAGCCCTGGCAGTGTGAAAGATGCAGCTGGGGCTCTGCCCATCCTCGGGAAGCCAGACCTGGGTAAGTGCTGGGAGCAGCATGGCAAGAAACTTTGAACTTGACCTCTGCTGGCAGCAGTTGTACCTATGAGGAGGTGGAGGCAAAGCCTGGTAAAGGGATAAGTGTGTCTGTCCACACGGTGGGAGTGACCCAGCCACGAGAGGAGCCTTGGAAACACCTGAATGACAGCCGCCACTCGTGTGCCATCTCCATGGACCGGGAATGCGGTTCTGTGTAGGGTGATGTGGGGGCAGCATTCTAGCCCAGACCCCCTGCGCTGTACCCGCTAAGAAAGTTACAGTGGAGAGCCTAATGCACTTGTTAGCATGTTGAAAATACCTTTGGGCTGGAGGAGTGGCTCAAGCAGTGGAACTCAAGTCTCTGAGTTCAATCTCCAGTTCTTCCAAACAAACAAAAAAACTTCCCTGGCACTTGAGAGACCAGAGGATTGAGAGGATTTGAGGCCAGCCTGAGCTACAAAGTGAGACTTTGCTTTGGGAAAACATGTAAATTTTAAACTATAGAGAACCTCTATCCCCTAAGAACTGAGATTAGTGGGGTGAGCCACTGTTCTGGGCTGCTGGTTTCTTGGGAGAAGGCAAATGTCTTTGTGATGGCTGTAACAGAAGTAGCTGAACCTCTGGACCACATGCATGCTTTTCCTCTCCTGTGTCACTATGGCAGTGGATGCAGGCGTTTGGCAGCAGTTGCCCAAAGCACAGAGCAGCAACCTGGGGCCTTGGGGGCTTATTTTTCAAAAAAGCTACCAAGGCTAGGATGAGGGGACAAATAACCCCTCAGGATTGCCCATCGCCTGCAGCCTGTGCCCCTGGGGCCTGAGGCGAGAGCCCAGGGGGCCTGGGCTGGACAGCGGGTGGAGGAGTGAGAAAGCCCTCGGGTACAGTGCAGATACCACCGTCCAAGCAGGTATGTGAGCACCTGTACTGGGGCCTCCTGTGACCACCACTCCCCCAGTACCTCCTCCACAGGAGGTTAGACACTCCCCCCCCCCACACACACACATTTCTACATCAGCTCATCTCCCTCAGTCTCTTCCTGCCCGTCTTGCAGGGAATTTACACAAGGCTTGTCCTCTCCCACCAGGCGACCGTAGCGCTGCAGGTGGCTTTCAGGGGACACCTTGCGCGGGCCAGGCTGCTCTCCAGACACACACACGATTCCATATCGCCCCCCGTGCCAGACGTGCAGGACCAGGTAACCATCGGGGCTGGATGCAGCCAGTGGCCCTGGGCAAACCCAGCAGAGGCACTTCTGGGTGGGTTGATGAGCTTAACCTTGGAGGCCTGCATGCTCTGAGGGCTGAAGAGGCACATCTACCTCACAAGAAAAACCTGCCAAAAATAAAGAATCATGTTCCCCACGTCATCCCATCATAACTCATGAAGATGAGATGTATATTGTAAAATCTCCCAGCCAGGCAGGGAGGTTCATGCCTATAATCCCAGCACTGGGAGGCTGAGACTGGGAGCCCGGGCTGCATAGCAAGACCCTGTCTCAAATCCTCCAGAGTTCCCTAGAGTCTGGAGGTTGCTGAGTCAAGCAAGCAGTGAAGGGTCACCTGGAGAGGCGCCACCCCTGGGGCCAGCAAGGGTGCCACAGGGCCTCTCTCCTGTTGTCGTTGCATGCAGCACCCTCCGGAGCCCCGAGTCCCGAGCCCCACCCCTCAGACTGAGGCTAGCCCAGGCCAAGAGGAGGCTATCACCATCATCCAGTCCGCCCTCCGGGGGCACCTGGCCAGGGACAGGTACAGGTGAGTGCTCCGGTGGGTAAGGACTGGGGCGGGGCCATCTATGCAGGCCACTGCCTTGGCAGATCAGTGAGCGCTGCCCAAGTCAGCCAAGGCCTTGTCTCTTCCAGTGCCACCAGCAAAGGGACAGCCACTACCGTGTCTCCAAGGAAAGCTGACCAGGCCACACTCTCAGAGGCTACCTCCCTGCCCTCCTTCCAGGTTTCTCCTGGTAATGCACCATTTCCACTCTGGGGGTAGGGGGCTGCTAGCCCTCCAAGGTTCAAACCCAAAGCATGGTTCCCTTCCAGACGCCTGGGGCTGCCCCATGCTCAGCCACTCCTCAAGCCCAGCAGCACCTTCTGGTGCTGGAGCTGCGTGGAGCTCCTAGAGCTGCACACAGGCCCAGGCCCTGATGGGGATCTCGCTCAGCTGCCAGCAAAGCCCTGTTCCTTCTCTGGCTGGCAGAACAAATGAATCCTGGAGCTCATTGAAGCCCTGGGCCGGCCCTGAGGCATGTGCCTCACCTCACCCCACTTCTCTGGCAACTCTGTACCCCAGCACAGTGGGAGCAGATTAGATGGCCTCAGCGTCACTTCCCCGCCTCCAATTCTGTGGTCCTGAGACTTGGGGCATCATTAGACAGAGACATGTCCTGCAGTAGCAGTAAAGGAGAGGCAAGGGCAGAGAAGACCTGCACCATGAATGGTGACCAGGGGGGAAGTGACATGTGCAGAACGAGGCCCCATTTGTGTGTCCCCCAGATAAGGAGCAGAGCGAAATGAGCAGTGAGGAGACCACAGAGGATGAACCCCAGCCCAGGTCCGGGGAGACGCCAGGCCCACAGCTGCTCTCTGGTAAGGAGTTTGCACTATCTCCAGCGTTTACCCTGTTCTCTCTGTTAATAATTTTTATTGAGATTAAATGATTACATAAATTTCACAGTATTGTAGGACAGTGATACTTAAAGTTATAAACACATTTTAACCTTCACAAGGCAAAATGTCATTATCTTGGTCTGTAAAGTTCGTGAATTCTACAAACTTTGACAGTACAACTATTTCTTCCACATTGAGTTACCCTGTTCTCTGAGGGCAAAAGGTCCCACAGTGAGGATAAAGCTGTGACCTACCCCATCCTTCGTGCCCGCAGCCTGGCCAGGCCTCTCTGTGCCTCGGGCATTCCCTGATCCTACCTGTAGGAGCCCATCCTGGAGACCTTCCCAGGCCAGACACCATGTTTAGTTGTGATTGTTGGTTTGTCCCATACCAGGGCTTGAACTCAGGGCCTAGCACTTTCTAGAGGCTTCTTTTGCTCAAGGCTGGTGCTCGACCTCCGGAGCCATACCTCCAGTCCAGATTTTTTGCTGGTTACTTGGAGATGCAGTCTCACAGACTTTTCTACTCTGGCTAGCTTCAAACCTCAGTCCTCTGACTGGGATGTAGCTCAGTGGCAGAGTGCTTGCCTAACAAGTGCAACGTCCTGGGTTCGATCCCTAGTGCTAAAAAGACAAAAACAATACAGTTTAAAAAAAAAAAACAACAGAAAAAAAAAAAACTTAAAACTGGGCACCAGTGGCTCACGCTTGTAATCCTAGCTACTCAGGAAGCTGAGATCTGAGGATTGTGGTTCAAAGCCAGCCCAGGCAGGAAAGTCTGTGAAACTCTTTATCACCAATAAACCACCAGAAAACTGGAAGTGGTGTTGTGGCTCATGTGGTAGAACACTACTAGCCTTGAGCTAAAGAGCTGAGGGACAGTGCCCAGGCCTGAAGTTCAAGCCTCAACAACAACAACAAAAAGCCAAAACAAAAACAAAAAACCCTCAATCCTCCAGGGCTCAGTTTCCTGAATAGCATTACAAGTGTGAGCCACTGGTACTAGCCTGGACATCATGTTTGAAATAGCATTTTATCCTCCTTTCCCCCACCCCCAAGCCATTGCTTTTCTAACTTTGTCAGAACTAGTAAACACTGAACTTTGGTACTATCTTCAAATCCCCATCTGCAAAGCTCAGGAAACGAAACCCAGCAGACATCAGAGCCCTCAGTACCCAGAAGGCTGTTCTCCAAAGTCCTGGTTTATTCTGATCTCACCAGACCCGCTGTCTGGTGACCTTTAGAGTATTTGGACAGGACTGAAGTGTCTGTGTATGTTGCCCTTTCATGACCTTAAAATGGTAGATTCAGCCACCCAACCGCAGGTACCAGCTCAGACATGGCAGACGTCCAGGTCAGACACGGAAGTCACAAGCCTATTTGCAGAGTGTAAACCACGCCCTTCTCTGGGCCCCCTCTGGTGGTGAGGTTTGGAGACAGTGCAGTGGTGTAGCCCAGTCTGGCCTCAAATGCACCATCCTTCTGCCTAAACTGTCCAAGGCAGTGGTCACCATGCCTGGAGAGCTAATTATGTGGTTTTGGTTTTTGGTTTTTGTTTTTTTGGTCGTGGGGCTTGAACTCTGGACCTGAGTGCTGTCATTCAGTTCTTCAGCTCAAGACTAGTACTCTACCATTTGTGCCACAGTGTAACTTCCAGTTTTCTGGTGGTTTACTGGAGATAAGAATCTCAGGGCTGGGAAGGTGGCTCAGTGGTAGAGTGCTTGCCTTGCATGCATGAGGCCCTGGGTTTGATTCCTCAGTACCACATAAGCAAAAAGAAAAAAGCTGGAAGTGGCACTATGGCTCAAGTGGTAGAGTGCTAGCCTTGAGCTGAAGAGCTGAGGGACAGCGCCCAGGCCCAGAGTTCAGGCCCCACAACCGGACCCAAAAAAAAAAAGAATCTCAAGGACTTTCCTGCCTGGGCTGGCTTTGAACCGTGATCCTCAGATCTCAGCCTCCTGAGTAGCTAGGATTACAGGCGTGAGCCACCAGCACCCAGACAATTATGGTTTTTTGAGGGGGTCAGTACTTGGGCCTTATACTTGCTCAGTTGTCATTCTATTTGAGCTATGCCTCCAACCATGCTTTTTTTGATCAGTTGTGAGGCTTGAACTCAGGGCCTGGGTGCTGTACTTGAGCATTTTCATTCAAGGTTATTACTCTACCTTTTTGAGCCACAGTTCCACTTCTGGTTTTCTGTCTTATTGGAGATAAGAGACTTACAGAATTTCCTGCCCAGGTTGGCCTCAAACTGCAATCCTCAGATCTTAGTCTCCAGAGTAGCTAGGAGTAACAGGTGTGAGCCACCAATATCCAGCTCAGCCCTGCTTTCTGAGGTTATTCTGCAGATGGATTCTAGTGAACTTTTCTACTCAGGCTGTCTTCAAACCACAATACTACAGGTCTCAGCCTCCTGAGTAGTTAGAATCACAGACATGAGCCACTGCTACCTCTAATAATGCCTGGTGCCAGGCATTAGCACTGGATTGGTTATGGTTTTTGTTTTGTTTCTTTTATGCTAGTGCTGGGGCTTGAACTCAGAGCCTGAATGCTGTCCCTTAGCTTTTTCACTTAGGGCTGGCATTCTACCACTTGAACCATGCTTCTACTGCCAGCTTTTTTTTTTTGTATGCCAGTCTTAGGGCTTAAACTTAGGGCCTGGGTGCTACCCCTGAGCTGTTTTGCTCAAGGACAGCACTAAATGACTTGAGTCACAGATCCACTTATGGATTTTTGGTGGTTTATTGGAGATAAGTCATGGATTTTCCTGCCCTGGCTTTGAAATGTGACCCTCATATCTCAGCCTCCTGAGCAGCTAGGATTGCAGGCTTGAGGCAATAATATCCAGCAACTTTTTTACCCCCTCTAGAAGAAGAAAGTAAGTATTCTTAGCACTTGAACTCTGGATCTGGGTCCTGTCCCTGAGCTCTTCAGTTAAGACTATCACTCTACCACTGGAGCCACAGGGCCACTTCTGGTTTTCTGGTGGTTAACTGGAGATGAGTCTCACAGACTTTCCTGCCCAGGCAGGCTTTGAACTATTATCCTCAGATCTCAGCCTCCTGAGTAGCTAGGATTACAGACTGAGTCACCAGTGCCCAGCTCCATTTCTGGCTTTTGCTTGTTATTTTTGAGAGTTAGCATTTTCTGGCCTGGTGCAGGCCAGCAGCAAGGAGAGCAAATGGTCCATCCCTCCATTGAGGACATTTTTTTCTGTCCAGGCTGGCCTCAAATCTTGATCCTAACAATCCCAGCCTCCCAAGTAGCTCAGATGATAGGTGTGAGCCAGGGAAGGCTGGCAAGAGTGAGGCTCTTGGCTGTGGAACTCCTGCCCTTCCTTCTCCCTTCCTTTCTCCATTGCCATCGAGGGTGGCATTCCTGTTGCCTGTCCCCATCCTAGAAAGGAGCTGGTGTGGAGAAGTGGCATCCAGGGACGAACCCTCAGCTGTCCCTGGCTGGTAGCCTCAAGGCCACGCCTCCAGCACGCGGCCCTTGCCTCTTGTCATCCACATCCCTCTGCAAGTGTTCTGATCTCAGGGAATGGCCCAGCTCCTCAGAGCTCGGGGAGAGCAGCGGGGCCTTGTGGGGATGTAAGCAGGCCTCCAGACCCTGCCTTCAACTGCTGCCTCAGGTGGGGCTGCACTCTTGCCTTGGGGGCCGGGGGAACTGGGGATGGCCCCTTGACTGCTTGCTAACCCCTCCCACTCTGGTTCATTTCAGCCGAGCCCTTTCCTCCAGACCCACAGCCCACCTCACCCCTGCCTGTGGACGACAGCACCTCTGACTCTGATGATGACATCATCATCGCGCCCTCTCTGCCCATGAAGAATAACTCCTCCCCCTTCTAGGCCCCAGCTCCTGTCTCCAGGCCAAGGGCTGCCAGGACAGGCCAGGGGCAAAGGACAAGGCGTGCTCTGGGGAAGCTGGCACTGGAGAGACAGAACAGCCTGCGTCCCACCCGCAGCCGCACCTCAGCGCGCTCCTGCCATTCTATTCTCCCTTTGAGGGTCCCTGCCAGTACTGCCTTTCTGTGGAGAAGGCCCGGTGGCCACCTCCCACCTCACTCCACTCTGGCTGCAGTTCAGAACTTTGTCCCAGAATCCGGAGCCGCAGGGCGTCCTGCAAAGACCAGTCAGGCAGCACTTTTCTACCTGCCCTTGACCTGTGTGACCCGGGAGGAGCATCATTATCCCAGCCAATGCTGTAATAGCATCACTAGCCAGGACCTCTGACCTCTCCCAGCAGACAAATGCTTTTAGGGGAGTGAGTGGAACTCCCCACCCCTCCCCCACCCCTGCCTCTCTACTCATCACTCCTGCCGCAGCAAGCCCACTTCACAGGCTAGGCAAAGCCACACACACACACACACACACACACACATGTCCCCAGATGAGCTCCTTGCCACCCCCTCCCTGTGGGCACTGCCCTTTGTAGGCAGGATTGTGGGTGGGACCTGCCATGGTGGGCGAACACTACAAGAATACAGAGCATCACTGTGACTGCGAGATCAGCAGTGGGGGGGAGGGGGTCACCCTACAGGAAGGCAGGGCCAAGAGGTGGCCGTTGCCTAGGGACAGCTCCTGTATCCTAGGCTAATGCCACACCACCTGGACCTTCAGAAGCCAGCAGCTCCTATGAGGAGCCCAGAGCTTCAGTCCTGACATCAGCCAGGGAGAAAAGGGGAGGACTCAGATATGCTCAAGGCTGAGCAGCCGCACATATAGCCCAGGCCCTGTGGCCCAGTCCCCACAGAGCTCTCCAGAGGCTCCACAGAGGCTGACAAGCCTCTCGGGACAACTTAGGGCACACTGGACTCCTCTGGCCCCTTGGATGGGTGCCCCTGGCTATTTGGGAATGGGAGCCTCAGGGAGGGAGGCCAGGAAGGGGGAGGTCCAACTGCCCAGCTGTGCCCTGGGATGGGCCCAGGCACAGCTGAAAGGCGCGCCCATGCCACCCTTAAAAGCACTAGAGGGTGACATGGTGGCGCTGCAGTGTCTAGCGCTGCTGGAGGGGCCTCGGCTCTGTCACAGCCACTCTGCCCTAAGCTATGGGTGACAAAGCCAGGGGAAGTTTAACCTCAGGACACCCTTGCTCAGGCAGATTCGCACTCTTCCGCTTCCGGAGAGGGGGCTCAGGGCAGGGCTTAGGCCTTAGGCAAGTCTGCACGTCTCTAGGTCCTGCAGCCTGACTAGGTGTCTGGCCCAGGGTAGAGGGAGGAAGAGGTCAGGTTTGGCCCTGGACCTATGACCTGACCTGTCGGTACCTGATCCAGTGCAGAAGGAGAAGGTCAGGCATGGCCCAAGGCTTGAGTTTTCCCCAGAACTGTAAATATGTACATGTCCCTGGCTGTCTCTGGCCCAGTGCTGTTACCTATGCAAACATTCCATCCTGAAGCTACCTCAATAAATGACCGTACCTCAAGCCTGTACTTCAGTTGATGACCAGTGCTGGGGGTCATCCATGCCCGGTTACTGGGAGTATCTCCAGGGCCTGGGGGGCAGGCCACTACTGCTGGCTTCAGTGGGAGCAGGCCAGGGAACCAGGAGTTTAAATTGTGGGGGTGCAGTTCACAGCATGGGGACCTGTGGGTGGGGGAAGGCCTGGGGTGGAGCCTCTAGAGGCGGCAAGACTGACAGCCTTGAGGGAGCTCAGGAGCAGAGTCCAGGAGACGCCTGGACCTCAGAGTAAGGGCCAAAGTAGGTCCAAGTGTGTACACCTCTGGTGGGAGCTAATGTGCCCTTGAACTTAAAAGAGCTGGAGCAAAACTGCCTGCTACAAGCTGGGTAGGCAGTCTATTTTAGAACAACCTTCCAGAGGCAGTCACCAGTGGCTCACACCTGTAATTCTAAGTACTCAGATTTTTTTTTTTTTGTCGTGGGGCTTGAACTCTGGGCTTGGGCGCTGTCCTTGCACTCTTCAGCTCAAGGCGAGTACTCTACCGCTTGAGCCACAGCGCCACTTCCTAATCCTAGGTACTCAGGAGGCTGAGATCTAAGGAACCATAGATAGCTCAAAGCCAGCCTGGGCAGGAAAGTCTGCGAACTTCTCTCCAATTAACCACCAAGAAGCCGTAAGTGGAGCTGTGGCTCGAAAGTGGTAGGGCAGTGGGGAAAAAAAAAAAAAAAGCTAAAGGACACTGCTTATGCCCTAGGTTCAAGCCCCTGGACTGTACAAAACTTTAAAAAGGTTAGCTGGCAGAGCAGAAACAAACAGCTAGATTCCCTGAGCCTGGCCCCTGGCGTTTAGCTGGAATGGCGTGACAGTGGGAGCTTGTTGGCTGGGTCTGTGGACTCGGGAGGGACCAGATTCAAATGACCCTGAGTGCAGGTGCTGGCTGCCTTCTGTCTGATGAATATCTATTTTTGTCTCCTGACAAAGGAAATGAGGACTGAGACTTCTATCCAGCAGATAGACCAAAACCTTCCTTGCAAAAAGATTAAAATCCCACTTCAAAAAAAAAAAAAAAAGACCTGGCTCCGATCTACCAACATAATACACTGAGCTGAGCTTCATCTTTGAAGATATAAATACCTTCTGCGAAGCGCACTCTAACCTTCATGGTCTAAATAAAAATTCCACCCTAACCTGGCTAATTGCGAAGGTTCCCAGGACGTGGATCAGAAACTGAGGGCAGGAGACTACACAGGAGCCATGGGGCCCATCTGGCTATTTCCCTGTGGCGCTGGGAGCCTGCTGGCTCTGCCTCCATTGTGCCAGCTACCTCACTGGGCCCAGGGCAGGGTTGGGCAGCACCCATTCAATAAGTTTGCCTATGCAGCCTGACATGTCAAGCTCTTGACTCAGAGCTGGAGGAGTGGCTGAGATGTGAGGAAGAGGCTGCTTTACATGTCTGACATACAGTTAGAAGGGGATCCACATTGTCCACATTTTTAGTTAGAATACTTTTTCATTTATTTTTTATTTTTTGGGTCCAGTCGTGGGTCTTGAACTCGGGCTTGGGCGCTGTCCCTCAGCTCTTCAGCTCAAGGCTAGCGCTCTACCGCTTAAGCCACAGTGCCACTTCCAGTTTTCTGGTGGTTTATTGGAGATAAGAGTCTCAACAGAGTTTCCTGCCCGGACTGGCTTTGAACCATGATCCTCAGATCTCAGCCTCCTGAGTAGCTAGGATTACAGGCGTGAGCCACCAGTGCCTGGCTCGGGGTTTTGTTTTCTAATACTTAATTGGACAGGCCAGGTGCATCTGTGGCTTCCTCCCTCGCAGCTGCCTACCAGGGCTTTGGCTTCCAGGCCCCGGCAGGGTTTGAGCTCCTCAGGGGCTTGCACATGGGCTCTGTCATTTGTACCCAGTCACCCTGTGTCCAGCTGATAAATGGTTCCTAAGGAAACTTGGGTTTTGCAGATGAGAGGAGTTACACGGAGCTGTGAGAAGGCACTGTCCACAGACTGTCCACAGATGCTTCTGCACCAACCCCGCTGCCGCCACAGTCTTCACAGCTACCATCTGTGATCTCGTGACGCTCAGCCTAAGCACTACAGTTGGTGGGAGGAGAGGAAGGAGTAAAATCTGCCCTGGAGCCTTGAGACTAGGAGTCTAAATATACACAAAGATATTAATTTGCACACCACACACATGCACAGACAGACACGCCTGCCCATTCCTAGGGAATTCTCCCTGCTTGGTCTGGAAGGAGCCTGGGACCTTCTTAAAAACTCTGAGGCCAAGCTAGGTAACAGTGGCCCAGGCCTGTAATCCTAGCTACTCAGGAGGCTGAGATCTGAGGATCGAGGTTGGAAGCCAATCCAGGCTTCTACCAGAAAACTGAAAGTGGTGCTATGGCCCAAAGTGCTAGTCTTTAGCAAAAGAGCCCAGGACAGCAGCCAGGCCCTGAGGTCAAGCCCCCAAAGCAGCAACAACAAAAAGACTGAGCCAGCTGTTGTAGCACATCTTTATAATCCAAGCACCTAGAAGATAGAGGCAGAAGAACTGATAGTACGAGGCTAGCCTGGGCTATGTAGCAAGACTCTGTCTCAAAAAGTAAATAAAAGGGCTGGGAAGGTGGCTCAGTGGTAGAGCGCTTGCCTTGCATGCCTGAGGCCCTGGGTTCGATTCTTCAGCACCACATAAGCAAAAAGAAAAAAGCCAGTAGTGG